CACCTTACCTATACTCTTCTCTCTAATAATTACAACATTAAAGATATCAAGTGTTCCATCACAAAATACATTTCACCAGAACCTTCCAATAGCAATGAGGGCGAAAGCAATCCTACAATTGCCGCATTCAAAACATCACTGGCCACAAATTTACCACTTGTCCAAAAATCTACCAACATATTCGATCCGTCAAAGACAACATTCCATTTGAGATGCCAGGAGTTTACATCATTTCGGACGAAAAATATCAACTAGGCTCAAAGAACATGAAAGAGCCTTAAGACCACGACAACTAAACTCATCAGCAGTTGCCGAACTCAGTCACGAAATCGGACATAAAATTTTATTAGATAAAAATAAAATTCTTGCATCTACCGAAAACATCCGAGCTCTCCTGCTAGTGACTGAAATAGATTTTATGAAAATACTGTTAGAACCCTATAAAAGTAGTATTATGAATTGTCATCAGTTTCCTTCAACGATAAATATGCTTCAGTTTGTACAGTATTTCATTTAATGGATTGCTAAATTAAACTAATTAAAATTTTATATCCGTTCTTTAGTTTATAGGTTGTGTCCACAATTCGTCCTAGTAAAACGAATTTTAAACTATGGCTATCTTGATCGTAAAGACCGGTTTCGCGATAAAATGCGACTCTTCAGCACAGAAGTGAGCAGCAAGATGAAATCACATCAAAACCCTCTTCGTCTGTTCCATGACTATGAATATGACAGTAATAACATTGAACTCTGCTTAAACTCATTTATTTATAGCGCCAATTAAATCGGCTGATTTATTGCGGCCAGTTAACCTTTTTCTAATTAGTAAGTTGCAACAAGGTCGTTCGGTTGTACCTACCTATCGTTTTTCAGTAGGCGTCTAATTTTATCGCCTAACGTTCTATCCGAATCACTGTCGATATTTTAATTCGATTCAAAGTGTCACTTTAACTAGTTTCCGTTGACAAACACCGGTGTGGCGTTACGAAACTCCATTGATGAGGTTCTTGCCACGTGAATTTGGCTCACGCTCGTCCTACGACGCTCGTGTTGTTGCCGCTTACAGGGCGGACCAAGTTTTGAATAATTGAGTTTAGAGTTTTACAAATTAGGTAGTTTTATCATTGGACGTAGTCTAAGAATAGGAATAATGTCCAATAACTATTATACATTAATGAGAAAAATAAGAAACTAATAATTTAATAAAATGATATAATAAAATAAAAAAAAAGTAATAGTAAAATTTAAAATGTATGAGAGATAAACTCGACTTGCCGCAGAATTATTCACCGTATACTTAAAACTTCTGTAGACATTACATCTCATCTCATCCCTCAGGAGCTACAAGTTTCCTAGAAGCCTTAGAAGCAGTATAGGTTAATAATAATCTGTATTAAAAAGATACACCGCACATTTAATACAAAATTGAGAACAGCATTAAAAATCAATTTTGTGTGTCAAGTTTCAAAACATTACAGTGATCTAATGTGCCTAAGCAACACCTTAATTTTCATAAAGTATATTTCCTTTTGAAAGTGAGTAGAATTGTATATTTATTTATCAACGGCCCAATCGCCCAATATAAAATTCACATAAACAAAATAGTAAACAACAAAATAAAATAAAATAAAACAAAATTAAAATTAAAACATAATGAAATAGACAGACCTTACCCTAATATGACAAACATTGGTTTTCCAAAATATTAAATATTGGGATATAGTTAGTCGACACGACACTTATAAGAGTAGCGACGCACCAACACAATGGTATACAAAACTATTGCGAGGAAAAGCGGAATAGTTTTACCGACAGCCTTTAAGGTCTTTCTTAAATATTCTTGCACTCTGGAAGCAGTTAAGTTGGTCAGAAAAACGATTCGCTAGTGCAGCTGACCTAGTAAGAAAAGAACTCTGCCCATATTTAGTACGATGGAACTCCACCTGGAATGGGTGGTTTATTCTGGTCTGGCGGGGGGCGGGGACGCAAAGCCCAAACTTACATAACAGCTCAGGTCCATGGGAATTTGAATGCAGTAGATTATAAAAAATGGTGAGATCCCTCTGCATGCGACGAATCTGAAGATTTGTAAGTTGGAGCAAGTTTTCCAATTCAGAATAATCAACGTCCTCAAGTCCTTGGTGCTCCTTAAATGCTATAAACCGCAGGAACCTATGCTGCACTCTTTTTATGGCCTGTATGTGGACGTTATACGAAGGTACACCACACACAGGAACAATAATCCATTTGAGGACGCACGAGGGAGCAGAACAGTAATCTGAGAGACGGAACACTCTGGAAGTCCACTGTACAGCGCTTAATAAAGCGCAAAATCTGAAGTGAACATGTTGTGTGTAAGTCAAGTTAATATCGAGTAACACTCCAAGATCCCTTATTACGGAGGGCTGCAATAATGGTGTCCCTTTTATGTTATACGTAAAATGTATGGGGTTTCTGCTCCGGTAGAAGTTCATTAGTTTGTATTTATTAATATTTAGTTCCATTCGATTCAAATCGCTCCTCTAAATCGGACTGGAGTTTAATACAGTCATCGACATTATGGACTCTCATATAGAATTTTAAGTCGTCAGCAAATAATAGGAAACATGTTTAATGAAAACATGAGGCAATATCATTCACATAGACATTGAAGAGCAGGGGTCCCAGGTGCGATCCTTGTGGAACAGTAGAAGGCACGCTAATATCGGTGGATTTGAAGCTCTAGACGCGCACTATCTGCACTCTTTCAGTAAGGTACGATGTTAACCATTCCAAAAGTTTTCCCTGGATTTCAATGATGATTTCATCGGTCAAAAGCCTTTGAAAAGTCTGTGTCAATGGCATGAACGTGAGACCCCCCCTTCAATGATTCCAGCAGAAAATCTGTGAACGTGGGCAAGTTTAGCTCAGTGGAGCGATGGGAGAGAAACCCAAATTGTTGGTCGATGAAGCAACCTTTAAGGCCAGCAGATAAATAGTCGCAAACTAAACTTTCGAACACTTTAAATATGCAACTCAGGATACTGAGGGGCCTATAATTGTTCACTTGCGAGTTATCGCCGGATTTTAAGATAGGGTAATGATAGGGGTTATGTCTGAGAGTGATCAGGGCGAAGCCCCAAGACACGTCTCAATATTCGGTTTTGTAATTTGAAAACATCTTTTGCCTTTTTGGAAGACCCTCAAAAGGAAATTCTATATCTCATAATGGATTGAACCTGACCATCGCAGTCAGACAATCTCCCTCAGCCTTCCGACACAAATAATAATGACAAGAAAAATGATAATCCTAACTTAGGATGGGGTCTATATAAATTCCCAGCAATTTTATAAGATTGGTCATTATTATCATATTGTTTTGCTTTGCGGAAATTACTAATAAAGTTTCCTATCCTGACTACTGCTAGAGTGAAGCGATTGCACCATAATATTTATATTTACCTTGTATCTTACCTGCTTTATAACTATTGCCCCTTGATTATTATTCTTAGTTTCGGTTAGTTTTTCAAAGTTAAGAGTACGAACACAAACGGGTGTAATTTTTTTATATCTCTCATTAGATTTGCATTTTTCTTATAGTTTACTCATCTTAAAACTTACAAAAATTATTTAGTTTGGGTATTCAGCTATATTTGAAATGTTTAACATTACGTAAAGCTTTCCTGAAAAGTGATGTATTACATTTAAAAATAATTTTAAGTTTAGTTCAATTGAGTTTAGAGTTTTACTTGAACAAATTATATAGTTTTATCATTGGATCAATAAGAAACTTATAATTTAATAAAATGCTATTATAATAAAATAACAGTAAAATTTAAAATGTATGAAAAATAAACTCGACTTGCCGCAGAACTAGTCGTCGTATACTTAACACTTCTGTGGACATCTCATCTCATCTCTCAGACGCTACAAGTTCCCTAAAAGCCTTAGAAGCAGTGTAGTTTAATTATAATAAAAATAATAATAATCTGTATTAAAAAGATACACCGCACAATTAAAACAAAATTTAAAATAGAAAGAATCAATTTTGGGTGTCAAGTGTCAACATTCTTCAGTGGTCTAATGTACCTAAGCAACACCTTAATTTCCATTGAAAGAGAGTAGAATTGTGCCAGAGAGTAATGAACATATAGATATTTGTTCTCGGACGAAGCCCCAAGACGCGTCTCTGTATTTTGAAAATATCTGGTGCCTTTTTGGAAGACCCCCAAAAGGAAATTCCATATTTCATAAGGGATTGGACCTGACCATCGTAAGATAGTTTAATTGTCGTCTTCCGATAAGTCAACACAAACTGCCCAGTTGTGAATGATGACAAGGAAAGTGATAATCCCAGCTTAAGATGGAGTCTATATGAATTCCCAGAAATTTTATAAGATTGTTCATTATTATGATATTGTTCTTTTGTTTTATGGAAGGTAGGAATAAAGTTTCCTATCCTGTTTACCGCTACAGTGAAGCGATTGGGTCATAATATTTATATTTGCCTTGCGTCTTATGTACCTTATGTTATTCTTAGTTTCGGTCAGTTTTCGAAGTTAAGAGCACGGACACTAACTCTCATAACACTCTCATTTGATTTACATTATATAGTCTGGGAATGCAGCCAAATTTCAAATGTTTATCATTACGCAAAGCTTTCCTGAAGAGTCACGTATCACATCTGAAAAATCAGTCGCGTCTAAAGTTAATGATAAATTTTTTATGGTTATATATTGTTAGCTTTTAAACTGTTAATTCTGACTAAACAAATGAAACGACTATAATGATTTACCGAATAAACCATATTTAGTTAACCTAATTTCAAAGAAATTATTTAAAATCTGTGGAAATAAATATATTGAATTCCAAAATAATGATTCCGCTCCATTTTTTGTTATATTTAAATAAAAATTATGATAATCTTATTTCAATTGAAATTTAATTTGCAATAATTTATTATGTTTGTCAAATACATAAAGGAATCAACAAGTATATAATTATTATAATTGACTGCGAAGCCCGTTTTTGTGGCTATAAATTATTCTTCAATATAAAAGAAGAATAACTAAATGTCGGTAAAAACTGCATAATGGAGTTCATGCAACAAGTTTGTTAACGTTAGCATCGACATTTACACACCCTGTAGCAGAAAATTTTATGAATGAATGCGACGCGTTCGTGGGCGTAAGTATACTAAGCTCGTGTTTCATAATCACAATGATATTTTAGAAAACGGCTAGCCTCGCATGTTCATTCACCAACCAGATATAGTAATTTCTAGGTCAAAATTTTAATTACAAAGGTTATTAAGAGAAAAATCTTGTGGCTGCGCAACACTAGTAATTTATTTGCAAAACGGCCGGAAGTAGAAAGTTTATTTGATTAACATTCCCTCACGTGGGCGGGCGCATTATATATATTTATGTTAAGTATGCAAATTTTATGCTGGCGACGTTAAAGAACAATAGTCGATTTGGGATGTTACATAGGAATCAAATGTCGGACTATCGATTTTAATTTTCGGCCCGATATTTGAACTAACATTTTCATTTTAATATTTGTCGCTACAAATAATACGCTATAATACACTAACGCCACTATTAAGCAGATGGATAGATAAAATAAAAATGATTGAGCAATAACTCATATTTTTTCCCAATGTTTTCTGTAAAATATTGTAGCTCATACCATAGCTAACTTAGTCAGAAATATGTAACTGTATACTTTCTATGGTATTTTCAAAATCTGTTATAATTTTTTTGGTATTTTCAAAATCTATCCAACAGCTATTAAGTTTTTAAACCTTTGATAAGCATTTTAATCTAAGATTTTTGCAAAGTAAATTAGACCCAATAGATTCTATAGGAAGAAGTTGTAACTGTCCCGAGCAACAATTCTCATATTACTTGAAATTCCAAGAGGTTTTAATATATATTAATGCACACTGGCTTCCACGATTCTTCTTCAAAGTTCCTAAATCCTATGGTAAAAAACACAAACAGAAAGTGTACTGTGCTTACAAAGTGTCTGATTGCTTATAAGATGTCTAAGGAATCATTTTTTTAAATAAATACTAAAGTGACTTGACTTCGCTCGTTTAGAACACTCTGAGGGTATACCCATTACTGATACTAAACCCTTGCTAAAAACAATTTTTTAATGGTATTATTCAGCACGAATCGTTCATTCCACTGTAAAACTAGCAAGGATATTTATATTTAAGGAAGTGTTACTAGATTTTTTATTAATATTCACTTGTGATATCCTTATTCCATCAAGGATCCTTCATATTTTTTCTCAGGCTTATCAGCTACTGAAGTTGCGTTAACATTTTTAAACTCTTTCGTAAAATTGCCATCAATTATAATAATTTCCCGCTCAAAGAAAAAATCGTCCACAAGTTAGGATACTTCTAAAAAACCTATTGTATTGCGAGGGTATTTATGGATTAAAGTTAAAATGACCAATTGATATTTTATCGAACAAAAATCGGCTTCGCTGTTCCGGGAGCATTTCTTCCACAATAAGGTTTTTCATGTTCTTATCTGGAACGACAAACAGACGGCGATTGTGACAAAGCGACTTCATGGGTTTGTTAGACTCCAAATGAAATCTCTGGTGCTTTCCTTGGAATGCTTTCGCCATAGTGATATTGCGACCCCAACAGCCACCGTCGATTTCTAAAATTTTTCTGAAAAACGAAACACGAGTTTACGATGCACAGCAACCCGGTTGGTCGTTTTTATTTAACTTACCGAGATTTAATCTCTTTGATATTCGCATACAATGATCTGGGGGCGTATATCGATCTGTAAAGAGCTGCTTGGTCTTTGGATTCTACAAGTTGTGCATGCTCATCCACGTAAAGTTTCGATTCTTTATGTTGGATATAATAGTCCCCAAATGACTGAACTGTTTAAATATACGATAGAAGAAAGAAACGAAACCAAATTCAAAATAGAGGTCGATTCGATTTAAATTAGAAAAATCTTACCTTCTAGAAGCAAAGAGCAGAGACAACCAAAGCATGCGAATAGTGCGCCTAGACGAGCCATTTTTTAAATAAGTTCTATTTACTTAATTGCATTTTTTTATACCGCCACCAATTATTCTTCTTGATTATTTCGAACGAACATTTATTTTGGTTACCAAAGGTTATAATTATTTTCATTTAGGTGCTTTACAATCGTGATGTTCTAATAATTAAAACAATAACGCGTGTAAGACAAGCATTTTTTGACAAATAACCTGAACTATATTTAACTTTGAACACCTTTTGAATAAGATACAAGTTAACTAAATAAATACTCTTGGAATTGGTTAGCGTTGACCTGGACATTTGTTAATTATTATGAAAGCGCGATAAATTAATGATTTGCAGTTTCCATATTTTTAAACGTTTGTTTTATCTTAGGTATATAATGCGCTAGATATTATTAAGGTTTATTTTTATAACGTGCATTCCGAAACATTTTATGTACAATATGTTTTATCAAACACTGCTGCAAACTCAGTTTTGTTCACGTTAGTTCTATTTAGTTTTAAATAAAACGACATTTGAGTTACGAGTTACGAAATATGCCAAGTCTCTTACATGAAACGAAATTGACGTGGTAAAATGACACTTCCCGTTAGATCGGTGTACAATTGGGTTATCTTAGACAATTTTCTAAATACATGGCATGTTGTGTTGTATTAAAAATGCTTTGTTTACTTTTAAGAGGAGACAAATAACTCAGCGGAAAGGATGTGGTAATTTTTTTGATACCCACGTAAATTTATGTGCCGACCAACTTGTTTCCTTAACAAGGGAAAAAAGTAATACGCAGTAGCGAAGCCTATTAATAACGAGTAAATAAAATATAGCAACATTAAAATATGATAAATCCGTATGAAAAAACAACCATAATTGGTTTTATAAGGCAGAAATATTAAATAATTTGAATTTACGATTTCAGCGACGCGGAACGAATTGTAGGTAATTTAAATACACAGACCGTATAGGAATTGTCATTTTTAGCTGAATTTGTCCTCTAATAGTAACGTAAAGTAGAAGCAACATTTCTATAAATATTTTAAATATAGAATATCACCAAAAAATATTATTGATATTATTGAGATAACGATTATACATGATAATTATAACTTAAGTTAAACATGAAAAACAAGCAAAACTGTTATTATAAAAATATAGGTTTAGCAATATCTATGACTCTAACATAAGTTTTGAATTTATTGTTCTCTCTCATTTTAGGAAAAATTAATATGTGTTGATAAAATTAAGTTTAATTTTTTTTTTGTTTGATTTTTGATATTTTGGATAACAAGTCAAAGAAAATATCTTAATAACACCAGCAGGAATTCAATTTGCAATGATTTTTATTAAACATCGTGAGAGAAACGTTAGTAACAAATCATAAATTCGATGTAGACGTCGCCTTCCTATTCACCCTTGACCTCCGTTGTCGTCCGAGAGCAATTACTTGCCAACTCTTGGTGTCACTTGTCATGGCTTAATGATATAATGATTTAAGTTGCGAATGGCGCTAATAGAAAAAACTTCGCGGCATCATTAGAAGACGGAATCGTGAAATTCTGTAAATTTTCTGCAAACTTCCTGGTAATGAAAATATCTTTGCAATTGAAATATTTTTCATACATGTTCATTAAATTGCTTACAAATTGAGTGCTTGTGTTGTTTCTATGGGTTGTTTGATTCCGTATAAAATTAGAATTACATAAATTAAAATTAGAAAATTAAATACATTACAGTGACTAAATATTTTATTATATATTTTGATTCCGAGTCGCTATTATTACCAGGCGATTTCGAAGTGTAGTTCAAAATGATGTGTAGTATGTCAACAAGAATGAAAAAACAAGTACTTAACTTATTAGCTATAGCATACCAAAAAGGCTGATGCAACAATTTGGGTCAAATGATGGATTGAGTTTTGAGCGATGAGCACTGACTATAAAATGTTTTCTATAAAATTTTGGATTTGTTATTTAGAAATTAATTTAAATTCACTAAAATCAAAGTCTTAGAAGTGCTTTATGTTGCCTCTTCATGAAAGTTAAACTTACAGGATATAGTAATTTTTAATTAAAACTTTCTTATGAACGACAAAGGGAAGTTGAGCTTCCGAAGACATGCCTATTATAAAAGTCAACCTTGGAATCAAGTCATTGAATGATTGAGACAAGCGGCATCTTTCAGGGGTGGAGCTGGAGTCCGGAGTTGTCACTGGAAACTCATAGGGCAAATCAACTTAAAGAAACAGCCAGCAATGATCCTAAACAAGTAGTTGGCCAAGGCATCCACTCAACTGAGATTGTAATAGAGAAAAATAACCAAAGACTGCTGGGCGATTATTTTTGAATTTTGATTCGAGAACGTGCCTGGAAAAAGGGAGTCGTTGACTTTAAAACGGTACTTTGGATTCTTGAAAATGTGATGGTGAAGTGAACGCTCTCCGGAATTCAAAGTCAAAGTTTGTTTTATGTGTGATTTCGTTTAATTATATTAAAATAAATTATGGATGTAGAATATTTTAATAATGTAATATTGAGTAATATGATTCAAGAAGATATGGAAGATGCTGCAGAAGCAGCAGAAATGATGAGAAATATTCTGCCACAACGAGACCCTTTTATTCTTTTTACAAATTTGTCAAATTTTTGAAATAGTTAATATGGTTTATGACTGTTCCAACACGGCCTTAACAATAGCCGCAAAGGTATGTTGTACAAACTGATAAGGCGTGGTTTTGCAACTAAACAATATACTCATACCCAACATAGAACATAAGTTAAATTTAAGTATTTATGATTACTTTACTTTTTGATTATTTCAGGAAATTATTGGTACTAATAGCTTTGTTGCAAGAAGTTCAATGATTCGTTGTATAAAAGACAGGAAATTATTATGACCATTCGATATCCTTCAACTATTGAAGATATTGAGGCTCTACATACCACGTAAGTTAGGAGGATTTCACAGTTTATTTGGTTCTTAAACAAGCAAATATATTTTTTATTGTAGTTTCTATTTGAAATACAGGTTTCCAGGGTCTATAGCAGATATATTTATTGACTGTCCACATATTAGTACTGTGGTCCCAGCTATCTGCTGATTATATTGAGCAGTATAATCGTTTTAAGGGGAAAATATATTTTTTAATCGTGTACCTTTTTTTAAACAGCTTTATAGTAAACGTGTAATACTTGATTCTGCAGTTAAATATTCTGTGCGAATTAATACGGGTATTATTAGCGAACGAGTTACAAACTGAAGGCACGGTAGATACGCGGAATATCTACAAACACATTTATCTTCTTTGCAGATGGTTTTTCCATAACGTCTAATGTGCCATGGTAAAAAATGAGCCCGTTTAAATGAATGAGTGACGTGGCATTAAATGCGTGCGGACGCAGCTTTATCACGGCAGAACCGCGGTCTTGTTTTGACTTGAGGAACACTGTTAATTAGAAAGCAATTTTTATATCCAAGTCCACATTTGACTATTGTCTTAAAAACACATATTAAAATCAATGAAGCGGCAATTTAAAAACGTTAATTAAAATTTTAGAGTGTAAAGTGGAATGCCACTCGCATCCGGTCGTTCTACATTTTTAAATGAAATCAAAAACGGGTTAGATCATCCATCCTTGGGGCACGCTCTTCACTTAATACGCCATGTTAGAGTTAATAAAGCATTAAAAAAAGATAATGTCGGTATAGTTAGTGCGATATATTAGAGGCAGAAACTGATAATTAATGGTCGGAATAACCAATGAGGTCTGTTACGGGAATTAAAATTTCTCCCTATGAGTTAACTCGTTTGTTTATTCAGAGGTGCTAGAAGTTCTTTCTTAGTTTTACTTAGTTTTATTTCAAATTGTTAATTTTGGGATAGAATACGATAAATAACTAAGAATACGTTTTGTGATCGCTATCGCTATCTTCGTCAATGACGTTGGTCAAGCTACCAAGCTGTGAATTTTCTATTTCACAAACGACTTCCAATATACTTGTGTTCAATAATTCTACAAGATCAATATTTTGTTTTTTAGCTTTTAGAGTGGCTTCATCAACTTAAAGACGATCAAGGAGAGAAAACTTGCAGATTATGAGAAATGAAAAACATCGAATACTCCAATTTATAACACAGAGAAAACAGGAAGCAAAAAAGATCCTGGTAGGCGCAGAATGTCATGGTTACACAACCTTAGGCAGTGGACAGGAAAAACATCTGTCGAACTGTTCATGGCGGCAGTAGACAAAGTTTGATGGGCCAATATAATCGCCAAGGACAACAGATGATAAGGAACTAGAAGAAGTATGGTCTGTTCATAGATATACCAGACAGTGACCACTTGCTTTTGAATGGGATTAGCCACATTGACGAAAATTCCAACATCAATTGTATGGAAAATTGTGAATAATCCCATTTCAGCGAGGAAAAAAAGAAGCGATGCTGACATTTTCTCGAGTGTAGATGAAAGTGATCAAGATATAATACGGCGTAAAAGTTACCAGTTATACGAGGAATAAAGCGTGCCTACATTAGATATATAAATTAGGAGGCTTGAAAAAGATGAAACCGGTGTTGATAGTGGCAGAACTACCATACACATGGGTTTTAGATTTTAAAAAATTGACAAAAGCAAGTTTTAATGAAATCTTTTAGGATTCGGAAATGGCGACTGGAATACCTAGAAAAAATTAGGATTTACAGAGAACAACAAAGCCCAATTATTTACTTGGATGACACTTATGATACCCCGGAAAAGGGTTTGGGATGACTCAACTGATAAGTGTAAAACAAACGCGCCATTAAAAAGGGGAAAAACAATAACTATTTTGTATGCTGGCTCTAAAGATGGTTGGATTCCAAACGGACTTTCTCCGTCTGCGAAAAATATTAAAGACTCTTCTCTGGATTACCATGAAGACACCACCGCTAATTTATTTGAAAGTTGGTTTAAAAAAAAATAGTTCCAAACATTTCTCCTAATAGCGTCATTGCAATGGACAATGCAAGTTATCACAGTA